GACGTGGTGGGTTTGCACGGTGTTGGAGACCGCAACGCCCGAGGAGAACTGTTAGTGCAGTGGGCAGCTGGCCGTAATCTGGTACTTGCCAATACGATTTTCGATAAGGGTTTCGACAAATTGTGGACGCACCAGAATGGAGCAAGCAGGCGACAGCTCGATTATCATCTGGTGAGTATGGACAAATCACGGTGCATTGCCGACGCAGAGGCTACTGAAGATATAGGCGTCGGCGTTGACCACCGCACTGTCCGGCTGACTCTGTCCCTTCCTCAGTCCAAGCGCAAGGCGGGGGGTCAGCGCGCCAGACGCGGTTTCCGCGGTTGGAAGCCGAGCAACAGCGCTCAGTACCGAGATGAATTGGACGCACGCCTCCGTGCTTCCTGCAGCGGCTCTGACCCGACACCAGACTTGGAAAACAGATGCGTTGCTATCGAGAGTGCTCTCAAACATGTTGCGGAACAGTGTCGGCAAGCTGAAGCAGACGTTGTTTCCGACGCAGAGGCTTCGCGACAGCTTCTCCACAGCCTCATCGACCAGCGCAGGGCTGCTCGCAGGGCGGGCGCGAAGGATACTGTCCGGGACGTCAGCAAAAAGATCCAGAAAGAGATCAAAGCAATTGCATGTGCACGGAAGAGTGCGAAAACAAGCATCATCTTGGCTGAGTTCCGGGACCTGCAACGACTCGTGGACATCCGGAACAGCGGCAAGAGAGATTGCATCTGCTCCGTGGTCGACGAAAACGGGACCGAGAGAACTGACATCAATGACATCGCAGAGGTATTTGCTAGCTTTTTTGAGTCACTGTACGACGGGGCGCCTGGAGCTTATTGTTGCGATGCCGGTGCCAGCCGAGTGCCTGCTGTCACGCCCGACGAAGTCCTGTCTCAGCTGAAGCGCACGCGGCCGGGCAAGGCGCCCGACGAGGGAGGTGTCGTCGCAGAGCTTATTCGACATGGGAGCGCACTGCTTTTCAATATGATTGCTGATATGTTCTCAGCCGTCTTGAAGCCAGGGACAGCGATCCCGGGGTACTGGAAGGCGTCTTCAATACGAGTTTTGTTCAAGAAGGGTGATCCGAGGTTCGCAGAGAACTATCGGCCTATTTGCATCATTCCCATATTGTTTAAATTGTTCAGTCGGGCGCTGTGCGGGCGCATATCTGGGATACTCACTGCAGCGCAGTCGTGCGATCAGGCGGGTTTCCGGCCTGGCTACTCCTGCGATGACCACCTTTTCGCGCTGACCTTTATTGCAGAGAAATGCAACGAGTATAATTTGCCTCTTTGGGTTGCCACGCTTGATTTTAAGAAGGCCTTCGACTCGATTGACCACAGCAGTATTTGGGCGTCTCTGCTTTCTCACGGCGTTCCGCCAGCGTATGTGGACGTCCTTTCCAGACTCTACCAGGGACAACGCGGTCGAGTTCGGAGCGCTGCCATCAGCCGCGAGTTCGGCATCCGCAAGGGGACCAAGCAGGGAGATCAAATCAGCCCCATTCTATTCAATTCTGTCCTGGAGGAAGTCATGCGCAGGGCCAAAGTGAAGTGGGGCTCGCGGAATTACGGCATCCAGCTTGGGTATGGTCCGGATTCGTTTGTAACTAACCTGCGATTTGCTGACGACATATTGATCATCGGCCGCACGTTGCCTCAAGTGAAGCAGATGCTGGTAGACATTGTCGAGGAGGGCGGGAGGGTTGGACTCGTCTTGCACCCTGCTAAGACAAAGATCCAGCACGATAATATTGGTTATGGCAGCCGCGTCAGGAAAGCGAGGATAGCTGGCATGGAGATCGAAGTCCTGGATCCAAGGGAGCATGCCATGTACCTCGGGAGGGCCCTCTCGCTAACCGACGCGCACGATTCGGAGCTCACCCACCGGATCCGGAAGGCGTGGTCGAAGTTTGGCGTGTACCGTGGCGAGCTCCTCGACAAGGCCGTGCCTTTGTCCTTGCGGTTGAAGCTGTTCCACGCTGTGCTCACCCCAACTATCTTATACGGTTGCGTATCTTGGGTGATGACAGAGTCGAGGATGGCGCGGCTGAGACCCACCCAGCTGAAGATGATTCGCATGATCTTGGGGCGGAGCCGCAAGCGGGAGCCGGATGGAGTACTGGAGACGTGGGTAGAATGGCTGCAGCGGGTTACCCCGGAGGCGAAGCGTGCCATGCATGAGTGCGGAGTGCCGCCTTGGGACGCCGAGCTGCAAACCCGCCGGCGTCGGCGGGGCATGCACGTGGAGGCGATGAGTCACGACCGGTGGGCGAAGAAGGCACTCAACTGGCAGCCGAGTGGTTTCCGGAGCAGGGGCCGCCCCGCCGCGCGTTGGGCTGACCAGCTCGCATCTCTGAGCGCTGAGCCCTAAGGGCATGCTGCCGCGCGGGCGCCGCGCAGCACGTACTCAGCGACCCTCGACCCTCGTCCCTGGGGGGCTGCGATCTGCGAATCTGTCGCCACTTTCGAGGGTTCTTGGGGGTCCAGCGGGGTGACGCACTACCCAAATTCAGATTAGGGGCGGCTGGGGGGTCCACCAAAGTGGGGCACCATCCAGATTCAGATTAGACCTCGCCATCCCTGTGGGGCTGCGATGTGCCAAGCTCTCGCCACTTTCGAGGGTTGCTGGGGGTCATGCGGAACGAGGCACCACCCAGATTCAGACTAGACCTCACTATGCCTTGGGGGCTGCGATCTGTGAAACCGTCGCCATTTTCGAGGGCTGCTGGGGGTCCAGCGGAGTGAGGCACCACCCAGATTCAGATTAGACGTCGGCATCCCTGGATGGTTGCGATCTGCGAATCTGTCGCCACTTTCGAGGGCTACCGGGGGTCCAGCGGAGTGAGGCACCACCCAGTTTCAGATTCGACCTCGCTATCCCTGCGGGGCTGCGATATGTGAAACCGTCGCCACTTTCGAGCGCGGCTGGGGGGTCAGCGGAGTGACCACCAGGAGACCTCGCCATCGGGGCCCAGCGGAGTGACGCCGATTTCTGTTACCTACGTGTTGTTTCGAGTTCCGGGGTCGTCAGGAAGGAAGCAGAGAAGCTGGCGGCCGAGCTAGGCCTCGCTCGCTTCTTGCACGAGCTATAAGCAATGTTTATCATTTGTTTGAGCGCCGCGGCGACATGGCGCACGCAGCGTTGCATCTTTGGCGTACGACCGACAAAAGCAACATTCTTCGGTCTCCTCCCGTCACTTTCGTCGTCGCCCTCTGCTCCCTGCCACCTTCCCTTAGCTACTGCCGCGCTGACGGTTCGGCCCCCCGCGCATCCTTCGCCTGCCCCTCGTTCCCGCCCCAATATCTTCCTCAAGCGTTCCTCGTCCTTCTGTTGTTGTCCTGTGAATCGTGCCACGTGGGCGCATCCCATGTAGCTTGCACAACATATGACGGCACCTGCACTGTCATTGTCATGGCAAGTTTGGGCAAACTCCTCTTATCACTTGATGCGAATGGGTTGGGTACGCCACAGGGTAGCTGTTTTTGGCGAAGGTTTCCCAGGAGTTGCTTCCTGACCATTGATTGCATCACGCCACCATGCCGCCGCTGCCGCCCACCACGCAGAGGTTCTCAGCCGCACTTGCTTGTTGTCAATGACCGTTCGCCGGAATGACCTTTGGTGCAGGCCCACAGGAGTTCCACCAGCAAGGGTTGGCGCGCATGGATTGCTTGGATGTGGCCTCCTCCGCGGCCCCCTGAAGCCGCGCACCACAGGTCACTCTTGCAAGAGTGACCTTCGCTGCGGGCACACTGGGGTCCCCAGATGAATGAACGCGATGCGATGGCAGCGTCTTGCGCACTCGGGTTGGGCCTCCCCATGGCCCCCGAAAGTCGCGCACCAAAGGTCACTCTTGCTCAGGGTCACTCGCGCGTGCAATTGACGAGGGCGCGGCCACGCTTCTGCGCGTGCGGCAGTGCCCAGGCGGTTTCGAGGCGTCACGCGCGTGTGACCCCGTGAGCAGGTGCGCGTTCAGCAGCACGGGGAAAGTGGCGGCGGCCATTACCCGGTTGGCGGCTCCCCCAAGAAGGGGGGGGGATGAGCATGTGCGAGCGGACGATCTGAGCAGGGCGAGGTGAGACAACGGTTGCTGTCCCCACGGCCGGACGCAGCTCGGAGAGTAACTGCATTGGACTTGGGGAGGGGTCCGGGGATCGGTTTTGAATTGCCGCTGTCTCAATTCACCCTGTGCCAGCATGTGTGAGCAGACGGGTGGTCGACGAGAGCAAGTAGAGAGGAGGAAAAAGGAACGGACGGGAAGGGGCAGGGAAGAAAATTGTGAGAGGAGGCGATTGGAGTGGGAGGTGAACGCACAAAATTGCTTTGCTCAAATCGATGGCCCGGCCGGAAAAGGGTTGGGAAAAATTAGCTAAAGCATTCAAAGTTGAAGGCCGCCAGCGCGTTGAGCTCGTCCAGTATTGAACGATCTGCGCTGGCAGAACGCGGCGCTCGTTCAAGGTTGAACGATCCACTGCACGCGGTGTCAGAAACCAATGCCTGGGTCGTCATGACCCGAATTTGCCGTACCTTCCTCCTCATGTCCTCCAGGCCGTTTCGGAGTAGATGGGGTCGGAGGATCGCTCTGCATCGCCGATGCATCTGCGATGCGGCGCGATCCAGAGACCGATCTCGATCCCGACATCGCAGGTGAATCGCCGATGCATCGACGATGCGGTGCGATCCTCCGACCCCGTCTGCTCTGGCCACATTCAGGCGGCCTTCCCTCCTCGCTTCTGGTTGTAGGGGTACCCTGGCATAGGGCACCAGCAGCGAGAACGCGAGGCAGCCAGCGCAAACGCTGGGCCGACGCCTACACCCCCGGGCACTTTCTCTCTCTCTCTCTCTCTCTCTCCCTTTCTCCCCCCCATCCCTTCCTCATTCCCTCCCTCCCACTCTGTCTCTCTCTCTCTCTCTCTCTCTCTCTCTCCCTCTCCCCCCTCACTTTCCCCATCCCCCGTCCTTCCCCGAGCCTCTCCGAGCCACCCCACTCTGCATCTCGCGTCGAGGTGCGCGAGCGGAAGCGCGGACCACACGCTCCGCATCTGGAATCCGCAGAACTGGCAGTGCGTCAACATTCTCAGGGACCACACAGGCCAGCGCCGCCGCACGGCAACACGCTTCACTCGAAAACTACACACCTCGTATAATGTGAGTTCGGGTCTTTGTTGTTCCTATCATGTGTCTCTCCTCGTCTCCCTCCTCCTTCCATCCTTTTTCTTTCCGCGCTGGCGTCGTCGTCTCACTGAGAGGAGAAGGGCGAGGATTGTCTTGCGACAGGCTTGGCCTATCGACTCCCAGCTTCGCTGTCGCAAGTGGCATCGTTGCTCACGTGGTGGCCGTTGTTGTGGCTGTGGTGTAAGAAAAAGCCAGCGCCGCCGCATGGCAGTGCGCCGCGCTTCGGATGAGGGGAAAAGACTACTACCACTACACCGCGTCTCCAAAGAGGGATGCTTGGAAAGATCTTGGGTTGTTCTCTGGATCTGTTCGCCATGCTCTCTATTGGGCTGTGTACATCCAGCCGTCATAATCCGCAGACTCAGGTAATGTGCGGATCTGGTCCCGCGGACAAGCTGAAGGGCCGAGCGGCTCGGCAAGTGGCGACGCGCCCGCCTGGCAAACTTGATGCACAAAAAGTGAGTTCATGTGAAGTCGGCACCAATCACGCGCTACAGCGGCGCAGGGCTGTCGTCATCTAGCACCTCTGGCGTGTAATGGCGTGCTTGCGCCCAAACCCTTCCCTGGACCTCGCCACAATCAGCAGATGCCAGCGCTGATTTCGCAGCGCGCACTTCCAACGCGGCGCAGCTGGATCAACCGAGGTGCGCGGTCAACGAACGAAAATATTCGACCTACCCGCGGTTGGCACGAACATGTTGCCTGTTTGGCGCATGGGCAAAAAAATCGTCGGTGTTGATATGTCAGCAACGTCCATTGCGCGGCTCCCCTGGGGGCCTCATTCGCCTCCTCTCCTCCTCCTCCTCCTCCTCCTCCTCCTCCTCCTCCTCCTCCTCCTCCTCCTCCTCCTCCTCCTCCTCCTCCTCCTCCTCCTCCTCCTCCTCCTCCTCCTCCTCCTCCTCCTCCCTGTGAGCTGGGAGGAGAAGGAGGAGGACCACCAGCAGCAGCAGCAGCAGGCGGGGGAGCAGGAGGCGGAGGAGGTGTAGCAGCAGGAAACGTGCCACTCGCGAGGTGATGAGCCCGTTTCGCTGGAGACATCCTCGCAATTCTGGGCTCTGATATGTCCTGGCCTGAGGTGGTCCGGCCCGCGTTTCGCTTGAGATTTCCTTGCATTTCTAGAACCAGATATGCACTGACCTGAAGTGGTCTGGCCCGTTTCGCCTGAGACATTGCTGAGACTCTAGGTTCAGACATGGCCGTGACCTTTGGATTCTGCGCGCGTGCACCCGACGACCCCAGGACCAGCTGCGGACAACATGCGTGTCCGCAGCTTGTCTTGTGGGCGCACCCCCTCTTCACACACTGTGTGCGCACAAGCCCAAGAAAGTTATCCGCACTGGACAGTACAGTCTCTGGGCCAGGGACACCTGTCCATATTTGACCGTACATCTTTGGATTCGGTCACTGTACACGACCGGTGTTCGACAGCCTGATGGTGCCCCGACCTCGGTGCCTAGTCCAGGGGGTGGGGCCCAGATGGGGACCCTGTGTCCGCACATGCCGGTACAATATGTGGATTGTTTCAGGCACGAACGGCAAAGCACAGCACTGCGCGGCACTGGGAACACGGGGGAAGATGAAGGGAGAGAGAGGACGAGAAGGGAGGGATTTCAGAGGGCCCCAAGAGGGCTCCAAGAAGGCTCGAAGAACTCCCCAAGAACCTCGAATCGATGTGGGAAAACGCGGCCCTTGTTCCCACCTCTGTTGGACCCTCGTGGGCCCTTTTTCTGGGGTCCGTCTTTGAGCCCAGCCTACAGCCGACGAGCGCGAAGGCGCGGATGAGCAGCATGTCGTGCATGCCAGAGCCGACACGACGTCGGATTGGCGTCCACATGTTTTGTATTGCTATCCTCCTCCCCCTCCTCCACCTCCTCCTTCCCCTCCCCCTCCTCAGTCTCCCCTCCTCCCACCTCTGGTTGGCCTCCTCGTCGCGCCGACAAGGTCCAATACAGTCCAAGAGGGCTTCAAGTTGGCCTGGGACTTTTTGTCGACGCCCTCCTTCCTTCCTTCCCCAATCATCTTTCATTGTTGCCCGCACTTGGGCTCCTCTTAACTGAGGGATGCCGCCCCACGGTCGGAGAAACCATGATGCCACGTTTACATGACGGCCGATGTTGGTGCCCTTACCTTTGGCAATGTCTGGGTGTGCGCACCATGGTAATGACATTGAGAATGTGTCAAGGCTATGAAGTCCAATCCTATACAATACCTGTGATATGCGATGCTCGATTGCCCCACAAGGGCCCAGAGACCTTCGTTAATGATATTGCACTTGAAGTATAGATGTTGCGCTTTCTGTTATTGCGAACTACATGATCAGGGCTGCAATCCGCAGATTGGCAGAATCTGCGGACAGTGGTATCGGCCGCCCTGTAATGGCTGTAGGCACAGGCCATAACAATAACCCGACCGAGACCCATGTCGGAGCGCACGTTTACAGAGAGGTCCTGAGAGTGGCGGCATCGGCCTCATCTTCTTGCCTCTCTAGCACCGTTTAACTGTCTGCTGCGGGTGTTGTTCTGCTTTCTGCATGTCGCCGCAACGCCAGCGACAACGAACAACCAACGACAAAAAACACGCGTCGCTCAACCGATCGGTACAGTGGACACCCATACCAAGAAACACCCTGCTTGCCTCCAGGGTGCCCTGGGTTGCTTGGGTGTCGATAGTATTGCTATGGAAAGCGTGACGTTCCCACACTAAAAATCAATGGACGTCCTGGGGTCTCAGGGTTGGGTTTCTTGTGGAAGGTTTATTGTGCTCGAGCTCTTTCTGTCCGCCCACCCCCCAGGGTGGCGAAGAAGGCTCCGCGAGACCTAAGGGAAACAGCACGTAGATTCTCACGGTAGTTTGGGGGACCGTCGGCGAATTGGGCCAGAGCCATGCACGCGGGGATGGGGATCGGTCAAATGATGGTCATACGATGTTGCCAGCTTTCGCACGGCCCCAACCTTGCCAGTCCGTAGCCATTTGGCCTCAAGTACGAACCACGGGCATTGGTGGCTCTTGCTTGTTGCGAAGTCAAGGGGCCGGCTTGAATGCACCCATTTTCTTGGCAATTGTTGTCCAGTTACGCGCCCACCTGCTCGAGCTGCCCGGCCTTGCGCGCTTCATTCGGTGAGCTATTGGTGGGGCAGATTCACGGGACCGTACCACAGTACGGTCAGATCCATGGGTGGAGGTGGAGACGTGGTCCGTCTGGGCGTGCCAACAGTGCGGCCTCACGGCCACTTGGGCCTACAGGCTGCGTTGCAGGTGTGGCGCAGCCGCGCCCACCGCAGCTCGACAGAGGACCAAGTCGTTCGGTCAGAAGGATGATGTTAATGGGCCTGGCCGCTTCCGCTTGCCTGCCGCAGGGTCACGGAACGAAGCCAAGCTGGAGCAGCAGATTGCCGAGTTTACGAGGAAGCTCGAGCAGCACATCGGGCCCACGAAGCCGAATTTCCTTGCTAAGCAGCAAGGTGGCAGTGTTCCCGCGGTCAATGACGATCAGACTGGAGGTGGCGACGATCCGCTTCGAGCTGAGGCCACACAACTGGAGGCAGCTATTCGTGCCTGCAAAAGTGAGTCGGCAGACGAGGCTCAGTGATTATTCGAGTTGCAGTTCAGAGATGTACGTTTCAAAATGGAGAGCACAAAAAACGGACGTCATGCAACACATTGCTTCGGGGCAAAAGCCAATCGTTCCAAAGACATGATTGCTAAGTGCATGGGCGAGCTTTCCGATTGCGACAGGAAGACTGCAGCTTTGCAGAAAGAACGAGCCGATATTGAATCCAAACGCACCGCCAGTGAAGCAGAATGTGAGGAGTTCCAACGCCAGTTGGTACATCCTTGGCCTTTGGGTGATCCTCGCGCTGCTGACAGTTCAGGTGTGCTGCAGGAGCTGTTGGAGGGCAAGGGGGCAATCATGTCTATGTTCCAATCCGCGGCCTTCGAAGAGTTCGCTGAGCTGTTCAGGTCGCACTCCCAGCCAACGCCGACACCATCTACTGCAACTGCTAGAAGACACAGCTGCACCCATGGACACGGAGTTCGATGACGCTTTCGAGAACATGGCATGGGTGGAGCTGGTAGTTTTTTGGAAGAAGCACACGGGCGACAAGCGGCCCATATTGGATGCACTCATATCAGCCAATGTCAAGGGGCCCAAGCAGTTGCAGCTTTGGCATGAAGGTGTCGGAGTCCGCAGTGGACTACGACCAGATGGACACGCAGCCACAGCAGCATTCGTCACCCGACGCAGAAGTTTGTCCTGCACGAGGTGCGCCTGCCTGAGAGATGGACGGCGGATTGCGCTACGTTGAGTTGGGGGCAGCATGGCGCCCGACGGCCGTTTTGCCAGTGCCTGGGCGCTTTTCGCGCGATGACGCTTTTTTTTGCGCCGGTATCTCTGGCCCGAGCGGGGGGGGGGGCTGAGGGGGCGCGTTCTGCGCCGGCCCCACTCTGCAAAGGATATCAAATGTCGGCCCGTGGCGTAGGCCGTCCGCCTAAGGCCGCCCCCCGAGTCGACTGCGATACCACCTCCTACGTTTTTTGCCCGCGAGATCGGGGTCGACGAAGAGACGTTGGGAGCTCGAGCCAACGCGGTCAAAAGTTCGGGTTGGAATGTGTTGTGCTCACCCTCGTTTGCACGCGGCATGGGCCGCTACTCTGCCCGAGCCACGGTGGGGCCCAGATGGCCTGGGCGCGTGCAACGCGGCATCGTCGTACCTCGCAGGCGTATTCTTGCTGCAGTTGATCTCCCAGGCTGGCCACCTGTCACACCAGGTTGCGCCTGTCTCCACACGGGGGGGGGGCTCTGCAACAGGCGCTTGCATGTCTTCGGGAAGGTGGGGGGGGGCGATGGAAGGCAAGCACTTGGCCCTCCTCGGCGCGGACTGGAACTTCGGGCCTGGTTGCTCCGAGTTGTCTGGG